TGGAGGCAGACAGGAGGCTTGCATTCCTGCAGAATCTGAAAACCTCACCTTGCTGCACAACCATGAGTGACAGGTGACAGTTCTCCGTAGCCCTAACACTGTACTTGATAAAATCATACCTCAAAAACAAAAGCCAGGACTTGTGGTCAAGATGGCAGTGTAGATACATGCAATACTCACATCCTCCATAATCATATCAAAATTACAGCTGGGGGTGGGAGCTAGGACCCAATCCCCACAGGCCACCCCAAGAGACCCCACCTATGCACAAATTCGTGCATTGGGCCTCTAGTGAATTTGTATGCATACTAGAGGCCAGGTGCATGGATTCATGCACTGGTGGGATGCCTTGGCCTGGCCTGTGCCCTCTTGCAATCCAGGACTCCTTGGGGGATGTCAGATAGCCAGTTTTGGCCTAATCCTCATAGGCCCAATCTGACAGGAGGGAGTCCGATCCCCATAGGCCCGATCCAGACAGGAGGGAGCCCAATCCTATGCATTAAGCATCTGTCCCCTGGTGGTCAGTGTGCATCATAGCGACTGATCAACTGGTTGTTAGGTCACTTAGGCTTTTATATATATATAGATATGCATAGCCCATGGACAGACAATAGTGCAGGGAAGGCCTGAGGAGGGTAAGAGAGCTGGGTGGAGGGAGTCAATTGGGGAGAGGAAGGGGGTGCCACAGGGACATCTGTAATACTTTCAACAATAAAGATAACTTTTAAAAAAAAGCAGGAATTGAGGGTGAGGGAGATGAAGGCTACTGGAGTCCCAGGCAGTTCCTTTTAAAGGGCTTGCACACTGATTTACCTTCACTCACTCTTTCTGAGCTTCAGTGTTGGAATAGCAGCTCAAAAGTTATCAGGGATATATGAGGAGAAACTGAAATGTCTGCCACCAGGGTGCGACCAGGAGAGGCAGCTGTTTCCCAGACAAAAGTGCTGGCAAAATGAGAGGGGAAGAGTACATAATACTAACAGATTCACAGTTGATTAGTAGCTATTCATCAAACTAAGAGATAAAAATACAGAGGGATATCTTGGCTGTGGAGAGATTTCTTACCCTGGGAAACTGTGGAGGACATGCTGTAAGAAGAAAAACAGAGTTGTAAAGATAAATCGACCTTGAAGTCCAGGTGGCTCCATCACTCAGAAAGAAGATACATTTTGAGAGCTCATCAAGGACAGGACACACCTGAAAGGAGACAAAAGTCTGGGGGCTAATCATTACAAGCACAATGATAGAAACAGACCCTGGGAACTCACATAGTTTTAGATTCTCTCCCCCCCTCTAACCCAGCCGTGGGCAAACTATGGCCCGTGGGCCAACCAAAGGTTGAGAACCACTGCTCTAACCCTATATAATGGCTAGCTTGAGATGAGAGGTCAGAGCAATTTATTCAAGTTACTATACTTACCACTCTCTCCCGGATCACTGGCATCTGAATAAAAACACCTCAAAGATTCAACCATGTCACTATGTAATGACTCTGGTAGTGCCAGGCAGCAGCTTGGACACATTTTGTTCTGATTTCTAAGGGTCATTTTTCCTTTGAAAAACCCTCTCTCCCCCACAGAACCAGAAGGCTAAGTGCCATATCTGAGTCTATCAACCTGGCTCACACTGTTTGCCCTGCCTGGTGATTCCCAGAGACCCATCTCACCCAGCTTGCTGGTGCACCCAAGCCATTTCCAATGCCTTTTACATACAAATGTCTTGTTTTGGTTCATGCCTCAGACTTTTCTGAAGTCTTTTGAACAAGTAGCACCTAGCCTCAGCTTGCTCATACCTTTCGTTAAGTGGCCCCAGGCCCGGCATTAGCAGCAGCCAACTACTGTTCACAGCTTGGCCTCTCTTGGGTACCTCTAAGCCCAGCACAAGTACAAACCAGCTGCAGATCTCTTTGTAGCTGAGGCTGGGTGGCCCTGTGCAGAACACAGGCAGTGGCCGACTTTGGCCTGCATCTCTCTTAAGATGTCAGGTTCTGATCAATTCAAACTTAAGAATAAAGCCCCAATTCAGTTTTGTTTTAGTCCCAGGCCCATGAAAGCTGAATCGCCCTACTGACCATACCCTCATGAAACCAGACAGAACGATGCCACGGCTGACATCAGGACCAGAAGCGATTATGAACTATCCCTAACCTGCCCCAACCGATCAGTAGAGATCACAGCCCCAACTCCGTTAGTCACCATGACTGATTTTTTTCCCTATAAAACCTTCTTCTAGAGACCATTGGGGAGCCAGGTCTTAGGCTGGTCTCTGGGCTTGGCTTCGTTCCTTAAATAAACCTTTACTTTCTTTGTTGCGAACCCTTGTTTGTGTTTCAGTGGGCTTTATGGCACACAGGCAAATGAACCAATTTACCCTGTGGGTCACCTAGCGGAGAGAAAGGTGGTGGGTAAAGCAAGAGGCCCGGGTGTTAAAGTACAGCCTCCAAAGTGAACACAGACTCTCTCAGAAGCCTGGTTTGGGGTGTGAGATGGGTGAGATGGGCAAATATCTGGATTTACTGAGACCTGCATGCTGCCAGCCAAATCCAATGAGAAGGACCAGGAGGAGGATCACAGCCCACAACCCAGAGCCCTTCCTGGATAAGAGCAGTTGGTGCCAATCCCCAGCATCTGGGGCCTCAGGCAGTAAACCCAAGTGGGTGGTGGGAGAGCTGTGGAGAAGAGCTCGGTTTGCTGGGTGTAGATGGGAATGCCTGGTTGAGATGACTATCTTCAGTTAAGGGCCCTGAAATGACGGAAGAGAGAAAAACAGACAGGCAGGAAAATTGGTCCACACTTAGTTTATTGTTTCCTTCAGCTGTGACTAGGAGAGGGATGGTAGACTTTCTATTTCTCAGTGAGACATTCAGTATTATCCATTGGCTTCTGAAGAAATCACTAGTTACTGTGGAAGAGAACAAAGACACACATGCTTAAAGTACTGAGAGCAAATAAATTCCCTTGCACTGCAAAACGTACAAAGAGTTGGGGTATTGGCAAGTAAAAAATTCATATGGTAGAAAAAAGAATTTTAGAAAGAATTTTTGTAATTTTGCTTGTGATATTACTTGGCTATCACTTACCCTACAATTTTCTGAGATTTTTTAGGAAAAATCATATTTAATGAGAAGTATTTGCGAATGAGAAAATCCAACATTTTTTCCTACATACAATGAAATGTTCATGAATTAACATTCTGCAAATCTTTGCAATTTTTAGAAATTTAAATACATGTTTACTTTTTCATGTCGTGCAGCAATCATTTTTGTTTTTCATGTTATAGACAATTTTTTTTGGAACTTGGAAACTCACAGGCCTTATGCATTCTGACTATAGTGCCTAATGGATAAAGTGGCCCTGATTCATTTTACAGGCTAATTTACATATCGTATATCTTATTACATTCAATATTTTAATTCCATCCTCTCCTCAAGAACAACTTCCCAAATAACTTAAAAGAATTTTAAGAAACTAAAGAAAAAAGACTAAGTGACTTAAATGCCCATTCAAGGTTAGTAAGGATTAATAGACTATTTTTATATATTACTTTACCAATTCACCTACCCAATAAATAACTTAGGAATTAGTTGTGGATTATGAATTTCACTGTCATTTCAAACATTTATTTTGAGACATCTCTTAATGTACTCACCTAGTGTTTTAGGTCTGGGTGTTTTCCTGTGATTCCGAGCTAAATAAATAAGGAAATAATACAATCTGACAAACTTACAATTTTTATGAAAGTTTCTTCTTTCCTTTCAAAATTTTGATGAAAGAGAAATATCAGCCAAATTTATATTTTATACTAATTATCGAGTGTCGAAATCAAACTATTGGGCCTCTTTTCTATTTATATATTCACAGACTTCTTATGTCAGAACCCCCAACAAAAAGAATAAAGAAGTAAAAGAATAAATTGAAGACAGACTGAGTTTAATTGACAGAGAAAACAATATAGATCAGTTATAAACTTCAGTGATAGTATAGTTTTATCCTTCACATCCTTCCATCACCATTTATCTCCCCTTTACCCTCTTTGACCTCCCCCAACCCCCATTTACTCTGATCATCAACATACTGTTGTCTGTGTCTATATGGTTGTGTTTTGGGGTTTTTATGTTTGTTTGTTTTGCTTAATTCCTTTACCTTTTTTGCTCAGCCCCCTATCATCTTCCCCTCTGATGGCTATCAGTCTGTTCTCTGTACTTATGAATATGATTCTATTTTGTTTGTTAGTTGTTGTTTTTTCATTAGATTCCACATGTAAGTTAAATCATATAGTATTTGTCTTTCTCTGACTGTCTGATTTCACTTAGCATAATAATCCCCAGGTCCATCCATGCTGTCAAAAGAGTAAGATTTCCTTCTGTATTAAAGCCGAATAGTATTCCATTGTGTAAATGTACCACAGTTTTTATACCCACTCACCTACTGAAGGATACTTGGTCTGCTTCCAAATCTTGGTTACTGTAAATAATGCTTCAATAAACATAGGGGTGTATAAATTCTTTTGAATTAGTGTTTGGGGTGTCTTCAGATATATTCCCAGAAGTGGAATTGCTGGGTCATAGGCAGTTCCATTTTTAATTTTTTGAGGTAACTCCATACTGCTTTCTGCAGTAGCTGTACCAGCCTGCACTCCCACCAACAGTGCCTGAAGGTTCCCTTTTCTCCACATCTTTGCCAACACTTGTTATTTGTTGATATACTGATGATAAGCTATCACCTCAATAAATTTAATAAAATAAAAAACTAGATTCTACTTCTGACTCTTTCATTAACTATCTTGATGGCCTTGGTCAAGACAGCAACTATTTGAAAACTATGTTAATCATCTATAAAGGAGAAGGTTCTAATACTGTATGATGAAAAAATTAAAATTTGGCAATAAATAACAATGTGTGAACTATAAATGAGTAAGTAGTTGGGAGATATGTTAGGAGTTTTTGTGGAGAAATTTTCAGAAATAGTTTAAGTGGGAAGAAAAGCATGTCTTGTGTTGGGTAAGGTAGCAGAAGGCAAAAAGTGAAAGGAAAAAAAAGCTTAGTTTGCATGTTGAAATTTCCTATTTATCTTTTATACTTATTTATACATTGAGTTTTTATATGTTTTATGAATGTATAGGCTTATGTTTCTAATGATAACCAGGATATTGATTTCACTTGGGAAAAATTAATATATATATATATATATATATATATATGTATGTATATATATAGTGTTGTGTTTTAAATTTTGTCCCCAAAAAAGCTAGGTTGAAGTCCTAACACCTGGTATTTGTGAATGTGACTTTATTTGCAGATAGGGAATTTACAGCTGTAACAACTTCAAGATAAGGTTATACTACATTAGGGTGGGCCCTAACTGCTAATGATTAGGGTCATTATACCAGGAAAGGGAGGTGTAGAGTTGTAGAGACACACAGATCCATAGGAAAGACAGCCATGTGAAGACGAAAGCAAAAGCTGGAGTGATGCAGCAGCAAGTCAGGAACACCAACGACTGCTGGCAACCACCGGAAGCTGAGAGAAAGGCATGGAGCACATTTTTCCTCAGAGCCTCCAGAAGGACCCAATCCTGCTGACAACTTTGGTTTTGGACTTTTAGCCTTCTGAACTGTGAAATAATAAATTTCTGTTGTCTTAAGCCAAAATAAATAAATAACCTTAAACTATAGTGGATGCTATGGCAGTAAAACACAGCAACAGTGTCAAGTGACATTACTAAAATTTAAATAAAAATAATTATCCCAAAACTGTTTCCCTGTGCACACTAAGCCAGAAAGACCAGTAAATTAACATTCCAAATTGTACTCCAATTGAAATGAACATTTTCCTATGGGTAATGCTATCATCTCTCACTCTGTGTAGGTGAATAAGGCTCCTAGGAGAGATGATATAATGAAAGAAGAAATGGAGGCAATTATAACATTATAGACATACGTGTGTGTGTGTGTGTGTGTGTGTGTATTTGTCATTGTGGGTGGTTTTTTTGTTTGTTTTGGCTGCCTATGCATGTGAAGACCTCATATAAAAAAATAAAGTGTTATAACTAAGTGATACAAAAGTAATCATTCATTCATTCAACAAGTACAACTAACTCTTGAACAACATGGGTTTTGACTGACCCTGTGCAGTCAAAAATCTGGGTATAACTTTAATCCCCAACAACTTACTACTAACAGCCTACTGTTAACCAGAAACCTCATTACATTAATAGTTAATTAACAATTATTTTCTATCTTATATGTGTTATATACAGTATTCTAATAATAAGCTAGAGGAAAGAAAATATTATTAAGAAAACATTGTAAGGAAGAGAAAATAAATTTATAATATTCTATGTGTTTACTGAAAAAAATCCATATACATGTGGACCCACACAGTACAAATCTGTGTTTTTTAAGGGTCAGCTATATTTATTAAGCACTTACTATTAACCAAGAACTCAGTTACATGCTGGCTACACAATGCTGACCAAACTAAACATGGCCTTTATCCTCTAAAATGGCAATGTATGATAAGACATAAGCCCAAGGTAAGGAAAAGGCTAACTGAGGCCTTACTGCTGAGTTTGAGCACCATAATAGCTCCATAGCACCGAGAGGACATAATAATGGAAATTATTTTTTAGTTTGTTAATAGTGACTCGTGACTGCAAAGTGTCACCATGAGAATAAGATCATAGTAATAAATGAGAAGTAAAGGACAGGAATAGAAGGCATTCCTATGAAGGGAAACCTGGAATAAGAGGAATTATACAACCAATGTGCAGCCTAAAAAGTTTACTCTGTGGATTTGGATGTGTCTTGGAATAGCAGTGGGCTTTGGAGGAATCTAGAAGGTATAAAACAGCCGCTAACCAAGTAAATAAAGAATTTTTAAATCAGAGTGGGAGGAGTGAAAACTCTCAACTATTTTATATCTGCTGAAGAACCCCAAACCCAAAATTGTTAGATCTAAGAAATTAAACACTTATTGTATTATTACATAGAGATATCCACCTTTTGGGTAGTAGGGGGGGTCTAATTATAACTACTTTGTAATACTGAGAGGCAATGGAAGAAATGGAATTATTGTTCCTTTATGATGTTTTTCTTCAGCAAATTTTTTTAAGTGACCATGGTAAGCAAGCATTCACTCAGCTATGCATGAATGTACACATTGAGTTTCTAGCTGAAGAATCTCCAAATAAAGAAGTAAACTTCCCCAATTATGAGTTAGCTCCATAAACATTACCAATCATCCAAGAGTAAACTCTCTATATACATTAACAAACTGGAGGAATGAAGACATTTATTTAGGTAAATACTCACTAGCTACTAGATTGACAAATATAAATAGGTTATTTTTTGGTATAGTACTGTACCAATTTTTGCTGCTCAATTAATACTTAGGAATTAACTGATTATCAATTGGTTCATCTTATTTTTCAACATACTTGTTTTAAGAAATAATCCCTAATTTACTTACTTGGCAATATCTGTTTGCCTGCTGCTTTCTGATCTGGATCTAAATGAGAGTGAAAATAATGGTTCTAAGTTCATTCTTTTAAAAATCTGCCTTTGTTAAAAAATGAAAGTCAGGCCATTCTATAACCTGAATTAACTCTTTTAGAGCACTAATCACCACTAATGAATAAACTCAAATTACTACTAAATTAGGGTATGCAAATAAATAACATTCTCAATTAATAAACTATATAAATTCATAATACAATACAAAAAAGATAATAATGAATATCAAATTCAAATCCCAAACTAGGAAAAGGAAGAAATAAACACATTTGTTTTCCTCCTTATCACTACCCAGCACAGAACATATGCTTGATCTTGAATGCCTCATTCTAACCTTCAGGATCTAACCTAATGTTTTATCTACTGATAAACAAAGTATTACAGGTCATGATTTAAAATCCTCACTGACTTCTAGACAATCAGGCAGACTGGGCTGAAGGGTTATGTACCCCTCCAACCCCACAAATACAGATATGTTGAAAAAAATATCACAAAATACCAATCAACATTTTAAAAAGAAAGGGACATTTCTAATATAGTTTGAAAGAACAAAAGGTAAGTAAGAATGAAAGCAAGATGACTCCAGAGTTCCATCAATCCATTGTACACATTAGGTTATAAATGAAGACCTCCTGGAAGCTGCAACTAACCTTCTCCAAATTTGGAAGCCATGAAAGGCCATTCCATCCATGAAACAGATGGTAAAAGCTTCCACCATTAGTCTTTAGAATGTGGCAAGGAAGTTTCTTTAGAAGTATAGATGGAGAAGGATCACCTAGAGACACAAGCGCCCTAATTGCTTTAAAAAAAGAAGTGGTTTAAGAATATGAACAAAAATATCACATAGAGCCGAACCGGTTTGGCTCAGTGGATAGAGCATCGGCCTGCGGACTGAAGGGTCCCAGGTTCGATTCCGGTCAAGGGCATGTACCTTGGTTGCGGGCACATCCCCAGTGGGGGGCGTGCAGGAGGCAGCTGATCGATCTCTCTCATCGATGTTTCTAACTCTCTGTCCCTCTCCCTTCTTCTCTATAAAAAAATCAATAAAATATTTTTAAAAAAAAATCACATAGAGAATCAGGAACCTTAAGTCTTTAACAAGTATAGGTTCTGGATACCAATTCATGCTTCCACTGAATTCTCTACCTGCAGGTCTAACAAATGCTGTAAAAATGTATGGCTTAAGAAGATAAAACAAGAGCTAACCTCCCCTGGGAGGATTCTACAAAAAGGATATGAAGAATTATCATGAAAAAATCCTGGCTGCTTAAGATGGCGTTACAATCAATGAAAAAAACCCACTAAAAGGTAATGTCCACAGCCAGAGCAAACTAAAGAATTCATACACCAAGAATTACAGGTAACAGAAAAACTTCAACAAAAGAATGCTTAGGGTTTCCATACAGATCAATAAAGGAGCTCTCTTGTTAGGGGCTAAGGCAGCTGGTGACTTAAGGTGAAGCCGATGCTCACTTCCATTGCAAAAAAACCTAGGGCTTTTAAGAATCATGTTAAATCTACTTAGCCTTCACTGTATAAAGTAACAATAAGGTTTAGATGACACCACATCTGTTTATAACATGGTTTAATAAATATTTTAAGCCCAGTATTGAAACTTATTGCTCAAGAAAAAAAAAAGATGTTCTTCAAAATATTACTGCTTCTGATGATGTATCTGGTTACCTAAGAATGCTGATAAAGCACCCTGACAACAAGATTAGTGTTGGTTTTATGCCTGCTAACCCTACATCCTTTCTGCAGCTCACAGATCAAGGAGCAATTTCAACATTCAAGTCTTATTATTTAAGAAATAGAATTTTGTAAGGCTATAGCTGCCATAGACAGTGATTCCTCTGATAGATCTGTGCAAAGGAAATTGGAAACCTTCTGCAAAGGATGACTTCAGCGGAGGAAGCACCTGCAGGTGTGGTGGAAATGGCAGGAGAATTAGAATTAGAAGTGGGGCCTGAAGATATGACTGAACTGCTACCATCTCATGATACAACTTGAGCAGATGAGAAGCTGCTTCTTATGGCTGAGCAAAGAAAGTGGTTTCTTGAGAGAGAACCTACTTCTAATGAAGATGCTGTAAAGATTGTTGAAGTGACAACAACAGATTTAGATTATAACATAAACTAAATTGATAAAGTAGTGGTGGGGTTTGAAAGGACTGTGGGAAAATGCTATCAAACAGCCTCACGTGTTACAGAGAAACCATTTGTGGGGGGAAAAAAGAGTCAACTGATGAGTCAAATTTCATTGTTGTCTCATTTTAAGGAATTGCCACAGCCACCCCCGCCTTCAGCAACCACCCCCTTGAGCAGTCAGCAGCCATCCACACTGAATGAAACAAGGCCCTCTACCTGCAAAAAGGTCATGACTCACTGAAGGATCAGATGATGGTTAGCAATTTTTAGCAAGAAAGGATTTTAAATTACGTACATTGGTTTTTACAACACAGTGCTGTAGCACACTTAATAGGTTATAATATAATGTAAATGTAACTTTTATGGGCTCAAGGAAACCAAAAAATTCACATTATTACAATATTCACTTTATTGCAATGATCAAAACCAAACCTGCAATATTTCCAAGGTAGGACTACACATCCTTTTTTATTAATTATACATTTCCTATTTCTTATTAGAGCAAGCTATTTTATTTCTTGTTTCTTCAAAGTAGACTTCCAAATGAATAAAAGACTTTTCCCAAAAAGTAAAATCTTATACATTAGTAACCTGGTTTCAAGGCATTACTTCACCAACTGCAGGAGTTCAAACAAAATGTAGAACTGAATTGTGAATCATTAATTTATTTTTAATTTTTAAAATGTGTATTAAGAAACTTTCTAATTTACTTACCCGGTACTATATGTGTGAACACTGCCTTCTGATCTGGAAAGTGAAAGACATAGAAAATAATGTCTCAAGTTACTCCTAGGAAAGTTTGCCTACTGCATGAATAAGAGGCCATTTTATAAGCATTATTATCTCTTTACTAGACTGGTTATCAATTAAGAAAATAATGTCCAAGGTCACTGAAGAAAGATGCCAATAAATAACCTTATGTAGCCGTATACCTCATCCAGAAAGAATGCAAATGTCCAATCCCACAGTGAGCAGAGTGTTAAGAGGACACAGATTTGCCTTGCTTTTTGCTTGTCACTTCTAAATACAAAATATAGGTTTAATTCTGAATGCCTGATTCTTACCTTCATACCTCACTTTTTAACTTTGTATTTATTGATAAAGAAATGCTACACTTGGTAAATGTAAACCCCTACTGACTTCTAGGCACTGCTGCAGAGTAGGCAGGCAAGATATTTGTCCTCTCCGTTCCTCACACAGAGGAGTGCTGAAAAAAAACATAAAAATTTAATACATAGCTGAGGTTAAAAACAAGAAAAGACTTCTCCTGATGCTAGTAAAAATAAAAAATAGAATTCAAAGGATAAACAGGAGCTAAAACTGAATGACTCCAGGGATGTCTACGCCAGTGATACACCTTTGGGTCTAGAGATTTAATTCCTTAGAAAGAAATCAAGTCCAAGATCTTTGCATGTCATAAAACTGTGAGTGAGCACCTTAATTAAACCTGGGAGCCAGGAGGACCATACCACCCATGAAACAGGGATAATAAAAATTCTGACCATAGAATTATACATTTGAAACCTATATACTGTTATTAACCAATGTCACCCCAACAAATTTAAAAAAAAATTTAAGTGCACATAGGAGGGAAGAAATAAAAAGTTTGTCTCAAGATTAAAAAAACAGACAAACCAAAAAACAGCAACACAAACCTCTGAATGTAGAAAAAATGAGGATATATAGATGGGAAAAGTGCATCAATGAAGGAATCCAAAGCCTTTAAAAAGTATACTTTCGGGATCCTAGTTCACAAACTACAAGTTCCTGAACACCATGTATAGCAATTGTAGAAATAGCTTTGCTTTAAAAGCAGGAAAAAAAAGAGAACCCACATGTATGTGTCTTCAACTAGGGCATGCAGAATTCTCATGGGAAAATCATCAGCACTGAGGATAAAAGAGTCTACAATTACAAACCACTAAACATGAGTGTCAGCAATCACAGCAATCAACAAAGTCATGCTCCAAGAAATACAGCACAGTCCTTGCTGGTTTGGCTCAGCACATAGAGTTTTGGCCTGCAACTTAGGGGTCCCAGGTTCGATTCTGGTCAAGGGCACATGCCTGGGTTGTGGGCTCAATCCCCACATTGCAGCTGATCAATGGTTCTCTCTCATCACTGATGTTTCAATTGCTCTCTCCCTCCCTCCCTCTCTGAAATCAATCTATATATATAAAAGCCTAAGCGACCTTACAACGGAACGACCAGGAAGTGGGTGGGTGGCGGTGGACACAGGCAGCAAGGGAAGGAGGGAGGGTAGGAGAGGTAGGGAACTTGATTGGCTCAGATCTCCGGCCAGGCCTAGGGACCCCACCCATGCATGAATTTTGTGCACTGGGCCTCTAGTAAAAATATATTTTTTAAAAAAGTGGAAGAAATACAACACAATTTATTTTTAAAACTTTAAGATAAGAACATTTAGAATATCCATAAAGATCTTTGCAGGAATAGATTCTATAAGTCTAAAACAGGAAAAGATGAAAAAATAGTTGATGAAATGAAAGAGTAACTTCAGGAAATAAAACAAATGTGAGATATGCAATTATAAATGATAAAGACATATTTCCAATTCTGGCCGAGGTGGAGTAACAGACTGAACTTACCCTCCCACCTGAAACAACCAGAAATCCTGACAAGATATATGAAACTGTGATTTTAGACATTTAATATGTTAATGCAGTATAGTGATCTCTGAGAGAAGGGAATAAAAAAGATGAGACCTATATTTGACCCTTCTTATTGCCTGGTGAGAATTTCCAGTCTGTAGCACAGCAAGGAAGACGTAGGCAGAGCCGGAGGTTTCTCTGATTTGAGGTAACAGAATAGGGAGTCTAGGAAGGGAAAGGCAGCTAGAATTCACAGGACAAAATAGGAGAAAGG